TTTTCGAGCAATGCATGGTTCAAATTTATCAGTTGTTGTTGTCTTGTGTTTGCGTATCATTTTCATCCAATAACGCTTGCAGATCGGCGTCCTCAAATGTTTTTGGTCTTCCGGAGCGCTCCTTGTCCTCAGTGTCGAAATCGCCATTTCTAAAGCGTTTAAACCAATCTTCACAAGTAGTTTTCGATTGTGCATGTTCGCCGTAGGCTTTCTCAAGCAAACGGCGTGCTTCAGCTGCATTTTCTTTCAAGTTGAAGCAGAAAAGCAAAGCTTCCCGCAAATGCTGTTTATTTGGCACAAAACTCGACATCTTTATTGTTAGAAAAAATATTTTTGCGTTGCAATATGTGTTGGTATTATGACTGGTTATTGTTGACAGATGTCCAAGTTAATAAAAAAACACAACTTTAGACATGTATATCGACTACATGTATCGTTAGCGCCATTCATGTGTGAAACCCGGAAACTTAGTTGCGCACCTAGTATATATATATATATATATATATATTTAAATAAAAATTAATTTTAAACATTTATTTCGTTCAATTTTTCAAAACATTATTATAATGCATAATATATATAAATTCTGCATTGAATAAATGTTGAATCAATATTGAATTAATGTTTCTTGTCTTGCAGACATTGCAATTCAGCGGACATTAGACATTTCTTCAATATTTTTTCAACATTGAATCTATATTTCGCAACGTTGCTGAAACATTCATAATGTTACAATTCTACGTTTTTTAGATATTGATTCAACGTTTGTGTGCTGTATGGGTTAGTTTTCAGCAAATTTAGAACAAGGCGTGTGAGTCATTTGCCTCTGGTATGATATCACATGAATTCAGCATGTGTTGCTGTCAAGTTGCTATGTGTTTGCTGTCAATGGTTTATCGCTGTACATAAAGAGCAAAATGACAGCAAGTTGCCAACAACACATACCGAGTCATAAATTTCTAGCAAAAATTACAACAGCGTATTGAAAACGGTTAAAAAATTTTAGTCACCCTTACTCTTTTCAAACATATAAAATAATAAGTAAATAAATTCTTCTTTTTATTTATCACCAAAAAGAAGAATTTATTTATTTATTATATATATATATATATATATATATATATATCTTGCCGCAAATATCTATAGGTAGAAACCGAAGCTGTGTTAATTTGCCACAAGTATCGTCGATGTATCGCCTATTTATTTATTAAATTGCACGCACTCGCGAAAACACACATACACAAAGATAGGTCATTTTCGACATTTTATATTGGTTACAAGACACAATTAACATATTTAAACAGTTTTTAACAAATTAATATATTTAAATAGTTTTTAACAAATATACGACAAAAGCACAGACATCATTATCTTTTTCTATCACCGTCATGTTGCTCTTATGTTGTCCAAAATGAATGACAAAGCAAAATGTTTTCCATGAATAGAAGTCATTTTGTTGCAACAAAATGAGCAACAGTTGCTCTCCGTTTGCTCTGAATCTGCTGACACGAAATGTTTCAAATCTGCCCTCGTGTTGTTGAATACGTATGACTATGCATTACGTTTTTAGCAAATATACAGCAACTAGTCGAAAATTCATGCTCAGCATTAAGTTACATGATTTTGCAAAACATGCTTGGCTATCAGGGTATGTATAAAAAAAACACTTAGTCTAATATAATTAAATAATAAAAATTAAATAATTAGATAATTAAATTTAAATAATTTATATTATAAAATTTTATTTATATAGAAATTCGACTCTACATCATAAGTAATACAATAAAAGGACGATTTTTATTTATTCGGACATTTATCTGTCCGATTTCTGAACAATCAGTTCAATATCTGAATTCTCTGTGTTGAGATCGTGTCAGAAAAATTAAACTGATAAAAATAATTACTATGTTTTTAATCTTACTAGCCACTCTTTGCAAGTTTTATATAATCATCATGACTAAAACTTAAATGCAAGATAGATTGCACAACGCGCGTCGCATAGCGGTAAACGAATGAACTAGCAATTACTGAATATTGCTTTTGTAATGTTTTTGGAATGTTGCTGTCCAGTAGCGCGTATACCTATGGGCTTTTGGGGCTTGAGCCCCTGGGCGCCGAAGCGTCAGGGGTGCCGCCGCTTCTATATATTCATAAAAAAATGTTCCATTTTTAATTATCTTCTTGTTCTTAAGTGTGTTTCGGTAGAATTATATTAATATTTAAAATGTTAATTATTTACTGTTTACTAATTGGGGGAGGAAGGCTAGATCGAGGCGCTCGAAGATCACAAGCCCTTGGGCGCAAATTTTACAAACGTAGCCCTGTTGCTGTCACATTCTCATGAAATATTACAATTACATGTTCCAATAATGTCTCAACAATATTACATTGCAACTTGCAAGATTGTAACATTGCTGCAATGTAATTGCAATTTTCTGAGCGTACGTGCGTGCGTGCGTGCGTGCGTAGTTAATTTTAGTTAATAAATTCGGCTCTTAACTTTTTTTCTGCGCATTTGCCGAAGTTGATGCTACGCGCACTAGACTCCTCATCTCCTAATCTGTCCAAATACGCAATTTCATAGCCTTAGCTCACAGGGGTCATTCGGAACTCTACTCATATTATTATACAGGGTGATTAAAAATAACCTGATGTCCTTGCAATGCCATATTCTCGAGCAAATTCTGAGACGATTTTTTCTTTTACAAAATTTTGTTTGAAGCTTAGTTTTCGAATTATAATTGAAAATAGTTTGCTACTTACGAGTTCGATAGAACGGACAGGCAGAACGGTGCAATGCGTCATGAGACGATAGTAAACACTTGACAGTCTCATTATACGTTGCACGTACTCTGCCTGCCCGTTGTACCGAACTCGTAAGTTGCTACCTATTTTCAATTATAACTCGAAAACTAAGCTTCGGACAAAATTTTGTAAAAGGAAAAATCGTCTCAGAATTCGCTCAAGAATATGGCATTGCAAGGACATTAGGTTATTTTGAATCACCCTGTATATTTGTAATCTGTTATTCGCGGAATGACATAATATCTTATATCTTTTTTTCTTTTTCCTACAGGCATGCATGGCCGTGAAGTGATCGAGCAAGTGGACAAGGGTTACCGTATGCCAAAACCATTGAACCATCCACTACCTGATAGCATCTACCGACTAATGCTGCAATGTTGGGACGCCAGTCCCGAGAAGCGACCCACGTTTGAGTTCCTGAATCACTATTTCGAGTCATTTAACGTCACTAGCGAAATACCATATCTCGAACCGCCGACGGACTGATATACAGCCCATCAATATATTCAAAATCATCATCTACCGCCGCACGGTCATTTTCATCCAGCTCACATTAACTGTGCCATGGAATTTTATGGTATTTACTGCTAAACAAATTATTTTGCGTGTATCTCACTGTTCTTACCGGAACCTTCTAGATACATTGTTCTCACATCAGAGAGGAAAGACTTTCAGTGAGAGAATACACGTTCTCAAACGATACTCGGCGTCGTTGTTGCGAATGGCATTTTTTCGACTGTAAAAATTTTTTTACAAATTTTACCAACTAACCTTCGAAAAACAGTGCCGCGTATTCAACCGAACTGTCACTGTCAGATGCTGCCGAAAATTCTACTGTAATCTTGTATCATTTTCTGTCCCTCTTCTTTATGTGTCCCTAGTGTCTAACGTAGCACCGAAAACGTCGAATGAATCAAAAGTTAAGTCTACCGTGGTGTTTTTGCAAAAACATCAATAACGTTCGCAAAAACGAATCAACAAGATTATAATCTTTGCAACCAATGCTTAACTGTATTACCGGAATATTTATGATTAGAATCGGACAAAAAGTACTTGCAATCGTAACAGATTGCAAAAGCACTCGCAAATCGAGTTTTGAATCTGTCTCTGAAATCCGCAATCGTTTACGTAAGTACATTTTTGTACTTTTGGTGATAAATAATCATAATAGAGACACTAGCAATATCGCTGTAGGAAAATAACGTGACACATGTTTGGAATAAATTTCAACATTATAGGATTAATACAGCATAATCGTTATATTAATATGTAATAATATCATATCATATGCTCATATATATACTTATTTTAAAATTTATGTACTTGTATAAATTTAATTTATATTTTTGCAAAATCATCATGGCATACTCAACTTTTGCGCGTGATCCTTATATAAATATATATATTGCGAATATCATAAAATAAGAAAGTGAGTGAGAGAGTGTTTGTGTGTGTTGTGTGTATTGTAAACATGAATTGCCAGAGTATGTTGTATTTTATTGATCTCGGATCGGTTAAATCCGAATTTTCCTAAAATCCAGTTTGTGGATATAGTCCTTGGAAAAAGTTTGGTACTGCGTACGTACTATTTGAACTAGTGAAACGCTATTGTCAACGCATACTTTTGAAGCGAGAGCGAAACGTGCTCCAATGAATGTAAAATTAAATGTAAAGAACATAGATTTTGTATAACTTGTCCGCTGAGAGAAGCACAAAAGGTTTTTTCGTATCAAATGATCATTGCACACAGCTATTGGTATTAGCGCTCGACAATTTTTATTGCTTCTAGATATATACTCCGTCCAGCGAGAGAGTATACATAACTCGGATGACAACTCGTCCATTTCGCGCAGATCTCCCCTCAGGAGACGCTTAAAAAGCCCCCCTTTCCCCCACTCCACATGACTGTACTGCTCGTGCAGCTCGTCAATGCCAACGCTCTTCTCACTTTGACTGCTGTGCTTCTCCTATGCGTAGAAAGAGGTATATTCTCTCGCTGAACAGAGTATAGTATGTATGGTAACATGAGTTTACCATACGCTTATCTGTTACGTACAAGTTTGGGTTGTATTGTAAAACACATGCAAATGGCCACGAGATATATCACATTGATTCTAAACGAGTCTCAGTATTTAGTCGAAAGTTTTATTCGATGAAAGCAATTTTAACTTATATCACTTAGCAACGTCCTTACTCGTGAATCTCACTCTTGGAGTTTCTCTTGATGGCCAAGTTGTGAATATACACATAACTGAACGCGTTTACCAAAAACAGATCCGATTGTAATTGATTGATCTTCTTTTTCTCCAAATATACTGCTATATACAGTTTCCTTTTTATGTAGCATGGACGCATTAGTATCGTCAGCATTTCTGAGCATATAAGTTGTTTCCCAAACATACATAAATAGTGTTTCTGAGCCTGAATCAAGCATTTTGCGAAAGTGCAATGTACCTCGCATAAATTTGCTTTCATTTCAGCAGCTTTATGTACAGCGTTGTGTAAGTGATAACGCTGTTTTACAAAGTCAGTTTACCGTTAGTCACTTGTTGAAAAGAAATAATAAAGGTATAAAAATTAGGATAAGAGAGGCGAAAAAATGTGTTATTAGTATTTGGATAAGTGCAAGTGCGTGAGTGCGTTTGAGAAAAATAAATCCCCGAGCCTGTGTTGATAGGTTTCACGACGAAAAACTGAGTAAAATCAGGAATGCAATTTCAGATAAACTTAAGTCATCGATGTTATTCGTACAAAATATCTGAAGAATTGTAAATTTTCTACTAAAGAGAAAAACAAGAATTACAAACGATGGATTAGAATAAGGATTCTTAGGTGATAGGCGTATCAGTTCTGCAAGATCGACGATTTTACTTTCTTGATTCTCGAAAAATGTTCTCGCAAACTACATTCAATTTTCCAAAATTCAATAGATCTTCGCTATCGTCTTCGCGGAACTTTCGAGATAATATCGATTGCACCAATCGGTATGAACTAGCTTTGGTTAATTATTTTTTTAATTACTTCGAAATTATTTCAAAGCAATTAACGCTTTACACGAATAAAGACAAGATGTAACAATATTATACATATATAAGATAAACTTATTAATTAGTATACAGTGGATATACAGGGCGTCCCTAAAATTTGACAAAGCGCTCGTGTACAGGTAGAGCGGACTAAACTGAGTCGAAAAGTCCTGTACCATTTTGCAATTTTCGCCTCAGTTAACGAGTTATTAATTACTAAAGATCGCCGAATAAGCGCGTATCCGTCCAGCTTACCGCCGAATGCAAGCGCGCGGCGAGATACAATAAAAAACGGGAGACAATCATATCTCAGAGCGGGCATTGCCGTTTGTAATAAAGAACTTTCCGCGCGCCTAGCGACCATGATCGCTGGGCGGTTGTATCTCGCCGCGCGCTTGCATTCGGCGGTAGGCTGGGCGGATACACGCTTATTCGGCGATATTTAATAATTAATAACTCGTTAACTGTTGCGAAAATTGCAAAATGGTACAAGACTTTTCGACTCAGTTTAGTCCGCTCTACCTGCACACGAGCGCTTTGTCAAAATTTTAGGGACCCTGTATACAGGAAAATGTGAGAGGATTTCTATCGATAATTGCAATATTATAGTTGCAATCTGAAAAGGAACACTGCTGTTAATTATTACTAATTAAAGGTGAAAGAAAGCATATTTGTTGATGCAAGATGAAATTATAATTCTCTTTTCCTTCTCTTTTCGTCTCTTTCTGCATCCTTGTTGTATCAAAACCAATTTGAAATGGGAAAATTAACCAAAGTTGGTTGATCAAGATCGTCGGTGCAGTCAGTCCCAAATGTACACATTTTATTGAGTCACAATATACGATGAATCTACACGGTGAATCTACACAGTAAAATTACGATAGAGTAGATATTAGTGATTAAAGTGGAGGCGAAATGTGAGTGCGTTACCCATATGCGAACGTAGGAAATTGTTACATTCGCGTGATCTTCTTTTCACGTGTATTTTACCGCATACAAACCAATGAACATTATGAGCAATAACACGATGCTCGGTAAACTCTTTATAATATATTTATTAACTATTGTATGATAAATTGAAACGTTGCTGCAATAAAAATTGCATTTTTTACCTGGTTAGGAAAAGAAATAACAGAAAAGGAAGAAAAAGTAATTTCAAGTACCAAGTACTATTCTATTCAAAACATGAAACATGATAGAATTAATGACAATATCAATGTTTAAGCAATTAACTGTCTCATTATACTAATTGCGGTTAGTGACTAATGGATTCATAGAGCATTGATGGATGCACAATGAGAAGCCGCCGGATAATCACTATGTGGCCTTTATCAAAAAACAAAACATCTAAACTACACGTCATAAAACGTCTAAAAATGTCATAAAACGTAAATCTAAAAATATCATAAAATTATTCAACTAGACGCTCTTCAGATTCAGATCCTTTTATGGTATCTGTGAATAAATATGTAATAATGTGTAAAATATATATCTTATACTCATGGCTCATTGTCGAGCTATATGCAGATAACATGATGAATCTGAGACGTCCTATGACTTTTTCAGACAAATCTTTATGCCATCTTTTGGACTTGTGTGTTGTTTGGTAGATGCAAATTTTGATATTGCGGCGGTCTTTACTTTGTGAAGATCCTATGATTCGTAAGTCAAGTCCTGACCGCGATATTCATATGGTACGCAGTATGTTTCCAATAAAATGATAGCGACATTGCACGGAAGAGTGCGCGTGAGAAAAAGCATTCACGTTTGCGTAGCGTTTAGAAAGTAGGTATATTACGTCCAGTACATTTTTTCTATGAGCGTTTTATACCGATGAACTTGTTTTCTCACAATGAACGTTTACTTGGAAATTTCGCTGGTTATGACGATGATCGCTGCCGTAGGTCGTAGATTTATAGAGATGCATAGAATTTGAATTGATGTGAAATCAACAGAAAAGTCCCAAAAACATCATCTATGTTAGATATATGAAAGACATTTAAAAAATCTTTATAAAATATCAAGTACATTCCTGTAGACGTTCTCTTACAATGTGTAGAAATTCAAGCATTTCTCTTTCTTTTTGCTTCTCTTTTTTTTTCTTTTTTGTTTTATGTTCTTATATTTGAAGAATACCCGAAAAATTAAAATGTCCTCTAAGCACAGCTTTTTAGACATTTTTAAGACATTTAAAGACATCTAAAAGATACATAACGAATTAAAATATATTTCAAACGTATTTTAAATGTTTTTCGGACTTTTGTGTTGTTTGTAAAGGAAGTGACGAGTTCGAGCGAAATGTTCACGTTATGTAGTATAGATATATTCATGTAAACTGTTTCATTCGGATCACATTTGGACCATGTATTTACAAATTATTATGGTAAAGGCATTGTGGCCCTTTTCCACTGGATCTAGAGACTGATATTGTTTAAATAAAGCCCATGTGCGTTGCTCTTCAAACGTACCGGGAACTGTACGTCCGCTTCTGTTACAAACTTTCCGAGACTGAACAAATCTTTTTCTCGAAATTATTCGATCCAATAGTTGCAACGTATATTTCATAGATCGCATTTGCACATAACAATACTTTAATCCCGTCTAAGTACGATAGATATGCTTTAAATATCAAATGTCATAAATTTTATCAAATCAAGTGTCATAAATTTTATCAAATAAATAAATTAAAGCAGCCGAGTCTTTGATATGATAGTAATTATCTATAATTAATTCATACAGAATTCTCACATAATAGAGTAATCGAACGTTTCGGAATTTAATAGGAAACACCTTGGACGTATCGTTCCCGCGAGTTATTTGCGAATGATTAAATTATAAGGACGACCTAACGGATAAACCCAAAGGGCGAGATCAGCGATTTAGGCACACGTATTGTACTTAATGAAAATCTCAATTAATCGTAGATTTTGCAATTTCTTCATCGAAAACTGGCTTTTCCGTGGTGGCTTTATTTTAATGAAATTTTCAGTAAATCTGTGATATAGGGACAACTTCCTCTTTTCCCTCCCATCCTCTTTATCACTGTCATACGTTTTGATATAAAAACCGACACTGTTGTCTCTCACAGCCGCCACGAAAGCATCATATTGTCAAGAAGGGTTATCCACTATTATTACGATAAAATCATTTACAGGACGGAATCGTCTCAAATATGTCATCATAGAGCCAAAAATATTTTCTTATACGCCCGGCTCTTACGTTCGAGGTTTCTTCACACCATACACCACCGCGCATTGATATTCGTTTTCATTCGTATATATCTAAAGTGAAAACAATCAATATAAACTCTGTTGTCATTGTTTATATACCAAAGCTGATTATCATTAAGTAACTTAACTATATTAATTTGTATTATTATATTAATTATCATAAACCTATACAGATAAATATATTATATCATATTAATTTTGCATATTTATTGTCGATTTATAAAAATTTATTTGTCCAAGGCGCAAATTTTATTTGTTAATTATAAATAGCTAATGCAAGATAATTCAAAGTAAGGTATACACGCAAAAGCATATAAATGTATGTGTAAAAATATTTAATTGCGATTGTGAGGATGCTCAAATATTTGGACATAATTTTCAATTTATGCGATTTATTCTAAAACCAATTACTCTTTTCTAATTACTAGTAATACAAAAGTTTTTCCTTTTCAAATACAGATATACCATTTTCCCTTTTTATACACTACAAAAACGGAATATATATATGTACATATATACAGGGTGTCTCTAAAGTCTGACTCAATCCCTGGATCTCGGAAACGGCTTTAGATATGGAAAAACGTTTCAGACAAAAGTTGTAGGATATTAAGGGGAACAGATGATGAAAATATGGACTTGACCTTGAGTGACCTTTTCAAGGCCAGGTCAATGTAATCGATATTTCTTAAATGGAACCCCGCATTTTTTTTATTGCATATTAATATCTTACAACTTTTGTCTGAAATGTTTTTCCATATCTAAAGTCGTTTCCGAGATCCAGGGGTTGAGTCAGATTTTAGCGACATCCTGTATGTGTATATACACACACACACGCACACACACACATACACGCACGCACGCACGCACGCACACAGAGTGCTCAAACGATATAAAGAACGAAATACAGAAGAAAGTATATATTAATGTCTTACTACATCTTCCAGTAAAGTTCGTATAAAGTGATTGAATTTCGTGAGTGAATTTCGAGACTATACATAATTAAAACAAGAGTAAGTTTCTTTTTTCGTGCCAGTATCCATTAAAAAATAATTTAAGGAATCAATTTAAACGCGTAAACAAGCAGATACGGTATATTATATAGAGTGTCAGGTATACACAGCCTGCGGATCAACTGCGTACTAAACAATCTACATCGGGTATATGCATCTAATTCAAAATACTTTACAATTATTAAGTATACATCATCTCCGCCATATGCGACATCTTCTTTGGAATATGAACAAATTCTTCGAAATAACCAGCAAGTTCGCCGATTGTGACGTCGCTCGACGAGGGTGGTGATATTCGCGCTTGCACTGAACAAGTATTTGGTGAACTTGACAATTGATGCTGTCCAGACAAGCCACCACTCGCGTCCGATTGTGTATTGTTACCCGTTGTTGCTCGTTGTTCCTCGCCGCCACCTGGACCAGGACCTCTCTTTAAATTCGGCATTGTATTGCTGCGAACACGCTGAAAACTACCAGTAGTCTCGCAATCATCCTGAATGCTAATGTCGTCCTTGGCCTGTCCACAGTCTTTACTGATTCTCAGCGTCTTTAAGTCCTTCATCACCGAATTATGATCGATTATCTTGGAATTTTTACTGGGAATACTGAGCTTGCATGTGTTCTTGAATAATGTATCCATTAAATTATCACTAGTACCAGGAACGCTTAACTTTAGAATAGCCTCTCTAAGAACGGTGCTCCTTTTGGTCTTTTCGACTACTCTCTCATTCTTAGATGGCTTGAAGTTTGTTGTACTCTTGATACCTTTTGTGTTGATTGGGAACATAGTAGGCCTATTAGGCACGGATCTTCTTCTAAATAAGCAACTGCTGTCAGAATTCACGTCAAAGATCTTGGATAGTTTTGATTTGTCTGTTGTTGCAATACTGAAAAAAAAATATTATCTTGTAAAAGAAACACATCACACTAAAAATATCAAATCTATCCAAATATTTTATTTCCAATTGTTTATTCTCTAAATAATTTTTCCTTTTTAATGTATTCATAATCTATAAGATATATATATATATATGTATATGCAATAAAAATCACAAGAAACATTTTACAACTATAATATTACAAGCAGTATCTAGCTGTTTCTAGACTTATTACAAAATTAAAGATTTGGTAAAGCAAGTTCAATTGTTAATTATCATTTATATAAATGACACAAGTCTTTCAAAAATAATACAATTTTCCAATGCTTATATCTATACTATTTTTTCTTTTTCAGAACTTATCGACATCAGCAAAATACTATTTCTGGTGTTACAATCTCAATATCTACAAACCTAAAAACAGAATATCTAAATATTTGGATCAAATTGAGTTTATTCAACCAATTCCATTGAACACGTTAATTGCCTAGGATTTAATACAGAATAAATATACCATCATCAATAGATCTTGACCGCAATCATAAAAAATATATAGTCAATAGATTGGATAATAGGAAATATATTGACTGATTGACAAAGAAAGTAAGCTGCTAGTGTAGAATAGTAAAAATAATTGAATAAATTTGTTTAATTGAATGGTAGTTAATTTACAATGTGATCATGTTTCTACAAAATATTTTGTCAACTTTATTCAGTGCTATTCTAGACACAGATCTAGACACAGATTTTATTATTGGTAAAAATATTAAAATTGCTTATGCTCTAAAAATAATAAATTGAAAAAAATTTGTTTTGTTAATAAATTTTTACATACCATATAATTATCACAACCATAACAGGATTACAACTCCTAAGCTTCGGTATACACAATTTTTTTCAAAACATTGATTAAGCTCATTTCATCACATGTTAAAAATGTATCAAATTAAAAATTAAAATTGATGTAATTTTATTAGAGTTTCCATTGCTACGTACACGTGAAGACCTTAATAATTAAATATACACACATTTAAATTGCACGATTCGGTCATAAATATATATGAATTATTATCGCATAGTTCTGACACGGACCGTATAACGTGAAAACGATATGCAATGTTTGCAATATTACACAAGTTTTACAATTTGCAAAAAACAGAAAGAGAAAGACGCTTACTGCGGACAACTTGTCGAACGACGATCAATCTCAAGCCTCTCTAGACGCGCCGGCAGCACATCATCTTCGTCACCCATGCTCGCTGTTTCGCTGCGAGCTGCCTGCAGCGAGAGCGTAGCGTCATGCCAGAGCATCGAATTGATAAATGCGTTGAGAAAGATGCGGAATAAGCGAGGACAGCAGCAGAAGGAAATTTAGATAGGTTAGAATGTACAAGATAACAATGACGATGATGACGACACACGATGAAATTACAATGCAACGAAAACGATGACACGTACACGTATTGACCGACTGTTGTGCATTCGATACGATTTTTTTCTCACTCCATGACTCGCGTGCACTATTTTGCGTGACCGTTTGTCTGCGATCGTGAAAATCGCCGAGAACGCGTTACGTTGATCTCAATGTTCAGAAGCGCGCAAATTCACGATCAATTAATCGTACAATGATGGCGAACATAAATAAACACTGCTACTATACGGGATCAAGAAGCAGCGACAACCAGCGATTCCCAAAGGTACTAAAAGAAAAGAAAGAGATGGTTGATTTGTAAGTAGCACGACATACAACCGGTAGCATTGTTTATCGATAGTGTTGAACAATGAATATGGTAGGTCTCGAAAATGAACACAGATTGCAGCACTACTGCTGCTTTATACTAGAGTCCCTGGAAATAAGAGTCTGAACAGACCATTGAGCTATCAAGAGACACGGTACTGTGGTGTCTCGCGCCAAGTTCACGCGAGTTCAAAGAGCCCAGAAAGCCGAGATTATCGGAACTCAATAATGCCTGGGTCGATCGAGTTGATAATAGTCTCAATCGATAGCGCATACCCAAAATATATAATAAAAGTATGCTTGTTTTTGCTTTACGTGCTCTAAATAAACATATAAAAGTCCAAAGTCGAAATGTCAAAAAATTATTAATTTTCTAGGATGTACAGTTACATTTTTCATCACTAGATGGCTATAGTGATGTTAGTAGTGTAGCGGTTGACATGAGAACTACTACATTAAATAAGGAAAATATCGAATTGTGGTTTTAGATAACTATATTTTGATTCAATGTTAACGATTTAATGTACAGATGAAAAGTGAGTGATAAACAAATAAAACTGATTAACAAAATACTAATGTTGTTATAGTAATTAAATAAACTATTTCTATGGCAATTAACCAATAATTTGTTTGTTGCTAATCGCAACTCAATGTCGGTAAATAAGATTCTATCTTTGCCGGTAAAGTTAGTCTGTTATTCATTGACTACGTCGATTGCCACAGTACTCCTCCCCGAGCAACGTCCTACGTTGCGAATTGGACCTTCTTCCTTGGACCAGTATATGTTCTGAGTGGCTCGTGAGTAGTAGAGGAAAACATGGCATCTGTTTGTTCCCTATTTGGTTCTCTGGGAAGGAATGCTGGTTTCAGCCGTTCGACAGTGACATTGACATTTTTACCTGCAATTTCTAAAGTAAAACATTATTATTTATCTTATTTACAACTCGGAATGGACCGGAGTATGGTGGTTGTACACTACGTGTTTTTCTGACTGCATCATCGCGTAACCAAACGTGAGTGCAATCAAAAAGATTTTTATGACAGAAAGGTGTTTTTTTGTGTGATGTGCTACCGGTTGAGATTTAATTTCTCTCATGTGGATCCTGTGTTTTTTTAAAAAGATTTCTGGATCAGAAGAAAGATCTTCTTCGATGAAAAATTCTCCAGGAATGCGTAATGTTGTTCCGTAAAGCATTTCTGCCGATGATGCTTTTAAATCTTCTTTATAGCAGGTACGTAAACCCAAAAGAACGGTAGGTAGTAATTCTAACCAATTTTTATTTGCATGGCACATAATAGCGTTCTTTAATGTACGTTGCCATCTTTCTAGGATACCATTTGAGGCTGGATGATACGCAGAAGTCCTTATCCGCTCGCAACCAATAAGGTTGGTGAGAGCTTTGAAGAGAGTTGCTTCAAATTGAGGTCCTTGATCCGTTACGATAGTATTCGGTGATCCGTATCTTGCTATCCAATGAGTGAAGAAAGCAGTTGCAACATTCTCTGTTAAAATTTCTTTAAGAGGAATAGTTTTTGGCCATCTCGAAAATCTATCGATCATGGTCAGGCAGTATCGATAATTCTGACACGGCAATAACGGACCAACTAAATCTAAATGTATATGTTGGAACCGATGATCCGGAATGGCTATCTTTTCTGGGATATTTTTCGCATGCTTCTGTATTTTGGCACATTGACACGGTAAGCACGTTCTTGCCCATTCTTTAATGTCTTTATTCATAGAAGGCCAAATGAATTTCTGTTGTATCATTTTACAGGTTGATCTTCCACTAGGATGGAATAGATTATGGACTACGTCAAAAATTTTCCTCCTTAAAAGTTGTGGAATGTACGGACGTATATTTTCAGTCGAACAATCACAAAGGATTGGAGTTGTTGTACCGGTAAGAATTAATTTTTGTAACTTGAGTGAGTGATTTGTTACTAGTTCTTCTGTTACTAGTTCTTCATCCTTTTTTTGAAATTCTGCTAATTCTTCTAAAGAAACAATGACCGGCATAGAAATTGCTTCAATCCGTGATAAAGCATCAGTCACAATATTATCTTTTCCAGAAATATGCTGGATTTCTGTAGAAAATTGGGCAATAAAATCAAGTTTGCGAATTTGTCGAGGTGACGCTTTGTCCAATTTTTGTCTGAAGGCATAAACTAGAGGTTTATGGTCTGTTTGAATCAATAGCTGGCGTCCCTCAATTAAATATCTGAAATGTTTAATTGCTGAAAAAATGCTGAGCAATTCTCTATCGTAAGTACTGTAATTACGTTGAGTATTATCAAGTTTCTTTGAAAAGAAAGCAATAGGTTTATTAATTCCGCCTATAATTTTTTCTAGAGAAGCGCCAATGGCAATCTGAAGCAGTCTGAAGCATCACATGTAAGAATTAATGGAACTGTTGGAGCAGGATGGGATAATAATGTTGCTTTTAAAAGTTCCTCTTTACAACAATTAAAGGCTTTAATAGCATTCTCTGTCCAATAAATTGGTCTTTTATCGTTCTTCTTGCTATCTTTAAGATAGTCTGTAAGAATTGCTTGCTGTGAAGCAGCGTTTTTCAAACATCGACGGTAAAAATTAATAAACCCTAAAAATCTTAATTCTTGAACTGTTTGAGGTTGTTTGTAATTAATGATTGTTTTTACTTTTTCATTTGTAAGTTTGATTCCTTGTTTGGACACAAGATATCCAAGGAAAGAAATCTCCTTTTTTTCGAAAAAACATTTGGAAACATTGACAGTTAATCCAAACTGTTTTAAACGTAAAAAGATACGCAAATGTTTGTGATGTTCTTCAACATTTGATGATGCAACTAATATACCATCAAGATAACAAAAGCAGAAATCAAGTCCTGTTAATATTATATTCATGAGCCGTTGGAATGTTTGAGCTGCATTTCGTAACCGGAATGGCATAACCAAAAATTCGAATAAATCGAAAGGAGTAGTGACAGCTGTCTTAGGAATATCTTCCTTGGCTACAGGAACTTGATAGTATGCCTTTACCAAATCTATTTTTGAGAATATGGTCTTACCGTGGAGATCAGATGTGAAGTCTTGAATGTGCGGCAGAGGATATCTATCTGGAAGTGTCACAGCATTCAAACCTCTATAATCACCTCACAATCTCCATGTGTCCTGTCCATTTTTGGGAATCATATGAATCGGTGCTGCCCATGGACTGCTTGAAGGACGACAGATTCCTTGTTCCATCATGTGCTTAAATTCATTCTTGGCAAACTTCAACTTCTCTGGCGATAAACAACGAGGTGTAGTTGCGACAGGAGATCCTTTTGTGACGATGTGGTGTTCCACTTGATGAATTTTACTTGCTGTAATTGGAGCAAAACAAGTTAATTCTGGGAAATCTGCGAAGATTTTGTGGAAAAGTGAGTCATGCCATGTTGTACAAACTGTAATCTGGTTAATATTTGTCAATTTTCTTTTTTGTGACAAACCAGTTACTGAATCTAATAATTTTTTGTGTTTTATGTCAACTAGAATTTCATAATGGCTCAAAAAATCTGCACCAATTATAGGTCGCTGGATATTTGCAATGCAGAATTTCCACTTAAGATCTCTGCGTAGACCAAGATCAAGAGCTACAGTTTTTGTACCGTAGGTATCTATCTTAGTTTCGTTTGCAGCAAAAAGTTTTAATGTAGAAATTGAAGATTTCTGAAATATTTTTTTAGAAACAAGAGAAATGTCAGCCCCAGTATCAATTAGAAAGTTCAAACCTGAGGTTTTATCGAAGACAATGAGACGATTGTTGGGTGAACCGTTGATTGTCGCCTCTTCCTTCAACGGTAAGCTTAATTTTCCTGCTTATCTGTCTTCTCAGTAAGTAACTTGGATATTGAACAAGGAATAGTACAAAAGTTTTTTTACCGAATTTCTTGTGATAAAAACAAATTTGTTTGTCTTTTTTGTCAGTTAATGCATTTCTTGACGATGATCTAAAACGTTTTCTTTCAGTGTTTCTAGATTTCGATTTGTCGCGAAAACGATTTATTTCCAATGCAGCTATTCTGCGCTCAAGATCGACAAGATTGCCTGATTTAGAACTTGATTCAGTGGACGAAATAATCGCGGCGACTTGGAGTGATCCTGTGTCCCGATCAACAATTTTATCTGCTAATTCGGCTAATTCGGCTAACGGATACTCCTCGACAACAGTTAAAGTTGCTTGTATGCGATACGGTAAACGTTGCAGCCATATAATGCAGAACATCGTCTGAAATAGCTCCTCCAGCTAACTGTCTGATCTCGCGAAGTAAATCTGACGGTTTTTTGTCATTAAGTTCAATTCTCGCTAAAACTTGACGCAATCTTTTTTCTTCCGAGTCCGTAAAGCAGTTAATTAGTGCGTTTTTCAAATGATTGTATTTATCTAATTCAGGCGGTCGTTCAATAATTTCAGCTACCGCGACTAACGCTTGTTCGTCAAAATGTCGAATTACGGTACTGAATTTTATTTCATCTAAGCGGATACGGTATATTAAAAATTCACTCTCTAAATTCACTCTGGGCAAACCATAACTTTGGTTGTTTATGCCAAAAGATCGGTAATTTCAATAACCGGAACTCATTCGCGTGAATCTCAATAGACTCACCTGAATTTGATGGACCGCTATTCAGCATCGTTGTTCTTTCCGATATATTTCGTGTTCCCGATGCTTCCTCTGGAGTCGTTGATGCTTTCGGCGATGAAGGAGGTGAACGGTTAATAGGCATCTTTGGATTATGTCGTTCACAATTTTAATCTCCCGCGACTCTTTAAGTCAATTAGATTTTTCAAATCACGTCGGGGTCACCAATTATGTAGCGGTTGAAATGAGAACTACTATTTAAATATAGAAAATATCGAATTGTGGTTTTAGGTAACTATATTTTGATTCGATGTTAACGATTCAATGGCCTAGTTTACACCGATTGTTTAGTACGCGTACCAAGTACTAAATCTGCTTCTTCGATAGGTATAAATTGTTTAGTGTAACATCTACACCAATCAAAGAAGCAGATTTAATACTTGGTACGCGTACTAAACAATCGGTGTAAACTAAGCCAATGTACAGATGAAGAATGAGTGATAAACAAATAAAACTAATTAACAAAATACTAATGTTGTTATAATAAACTATTAAATAAACTATTTCTATGGCAATTAATTAATCAATAATTTGTTTGTTGCTAATCGCAACTTAATGTCGGTAAATAAGATTCTATCTTTGCCGGTAAAGTTAGTCTGTTATTCATTGACTACGTCGATTGCCACAGTAGTTAGGTTTGTGTTGGTGGTGCTATAGGAGATAGCCGCGCTTACCAAATAACCTTAGAGCAGTGATGCAAGATCGAGCATCCTGCATCAAGCACCACATGAGGGGAAGAGCCCCCATCATGGCGGCACCACACAAGCGAGCATCGCTGACGTCACGCGTCCGTGTGCGCTCGTCGTTCCAATAGCGTATAAGTTGTACGCTGGGGCTCTTCCTCTCATGTGGTGCTTGATGCAGGATGCTCGATCT